GAACGCTGGTCTTTCAGCTGAAGTCAAATTTCAGTAAGACTTGTTCTAAAGAGGTTAGTCCCAGAAAGCTAATATCCCAAGCATTGCCTTCAGTTGGCCCTGTGTTTCGGATATCCAACTTTCAGACAGTCAATCTTCAGTAAGACTTGTATCCCAGAAGCATTGCCTTCAGTTGGCCCTGTGTTTCGGATATCCATTTTGAAGAAGTTCAGAAATTGCTTATTCAACTAAAGTCATACTTCAATTTCTGTGGGGGCAAGAAGCACGCAGTGCAGCTATGTTCGGCAGAGTTGAAGAAAAGAAACAGTAAAGCATTCAAAAATAAAGCAACTGAAGAAAAAAATTGAGCTACAAGTTCAATAATTCAGTATCGGCAGCCGCCCACAAGCGGAAAATAACAGCTGCCGAAATACGTACATAAGCAAAAAAATAAAACTGCTGTACGACAAGGCAAGCTGAAGCAAAAAACAAGGCAAAAAACTCAGAAAGCGGCAAGTCTAAAGTTAAGCACATGATGAACCGCAAGATTCTGAAGACGACTGCCCGAGTTCCTATGCTTCAGCCGGCGGATCAGACTGATCAGCGTTGAGTCCCATGGTGGCCTCAGCCCCAGCAGCAGAAGAGGCGGGCTTTGCACTTTGCCGAGCCTCCCTTTCCCTCTGCTCAGCTTCCAACTCCAGTCTTTCAGCTTCCTCTTCGGCTTCCTCAGCCTTAAGAATTTCAGCTTCAGCTGGAGTTGCAAACTTCATGTGAGGGTCTTCGGGATTCTGGACCCACTCAGCACATTTAGACCAGTCCAGCTTCGGCTCAGCATGAAGGCAGACTCTTCGGCATACTCGGAATCCGTTTCTGAAACCCATCTCATATTCCTCTTGGGTATAGACACGGACTTTGAGTAAAGCCTCAGCATCAGCCAGCTTCTTCTGGGTCTCCTCCAAGTCTTCCTTGGATTTCTTCAGCTCATCAGCGACTTGGGAGGAGGAGCCTTTCAGCTCATTCAGCTCTTGCTGAATTTGGGAAGCCTTTGTCTGAGCCTGGGCCACTTCAACTTTCTGGATCAGCAGTTGATCCTCAGCCTTTTGGAACTTAGCTCTTTGAGCTCCAGCAGCAGCAGCAGCCTCTGAGAGTTGGACGTCTTTGGCCAGGAGCAACTCTTCAGCAGCCATTCGGCTGGCTTCAAGAGCCTCTAGACGCTGCTGTACTTCAGCTTGTGCAGCAGTTCCTTCTTGAATTCGGCTCTCAATAGCAGCCTTGAATTTGGAGACGTCCACTCCCATATGCTCCTGGAGGAATTTTTCCCCTTCCATCAGTGGGGGAAAAACCTCCATCTCCATAGCATCGCAGAAGGTTTTCAGAGCTTCGACAGCTTTTTTACCGTACTCCTCAACCTCCTGCTGCTTCTCTTCAGCTGCTGCTTGCTTCAGCTTAGCAAGCTTAACTTCCTCTTCAGCCACCTTCCTTTCGTGCACAGCAGCGTCTACCCTATCTTGTAGGGTATCAATCAGCTCTACAGTGAGAGTCTGATTGTGCACGAACTGAAAACAGGAAGACAAAAAAAAAATAAGTAATAAGAAAAAAATAGAGCTGAATTTCGGAGGAAATGAAGGAAAATTACCTGCATCATCAGCAGTTGGTTAGACCTAGCTGGGTCAGGAACTGATCTACTGGATTCGCCCATCCCAGCAGTGGCCTTCAGCGACCAGATCCTTGCCCTGTCTACTTCGGACATGCCAGCAAAACTGCCGAAGTAGGCTTCAGCTCCTTCTCGGTTTTGACCCCATATGAGGTCCCAGATGTGATCTGGGATTGGAATTCGGGGGGCCGAGAAACCCATTTCTCCAGAATGCAGAGTCTGGAAAGAAGGGAAGGACGACGATGGAGCTTGATTAGCTTTGGTTGTCTCAGCATCATCCTTCTCAGAGGAGTCAAGTACTATGACCTCCTCTTCTTCAGGGGTGAGGACGAAAGCCTCAACCTCTCTGGCGATATCTGCCGTGAAGCCCTCAGCACTGGACATCACGGCATCTTTATTTTCGTGCTCAGCAGCACTCTTCTTGATTTCTTCTTGGACCCCTCCCTTAGGTTCGGGAGTTCTCTGATCCACCTCCATCTCAGGAGGTGGCGGAGGGGTCTTTTGAGGAGATTGGGGTGTTGGCTGGGGAACCCTCGGCGATCCATTGCCTTCCTCAGGTTCCCTTATTGCGACGCCGATGGTCATCGGCCTCTGCTGAAAATCATGAGGGCCGATGATGGCCATCCTTCGGCGCCTTTTCAGAAGGGGCTGCTCGTCCATATCTGAGTCTGAAGACTCTTGTATTTGATCTTCGGGACGAACAGGAGCTTTGCCTTCTCTGTGTCTGTTACTCTCTTCAGACTGTAACAGACAGGGGGGAAGAAGAGTGTGAGTAAAAAAAAAAAAAAAAAAAAAAAAAAAAAAAAAGAAAAGAAGAAATGAAAAGAAAAAAAAAAAAAAAAAAAAAAAAAAAAAGTTGTCTGAAAACTCACCGAGGTTTTCAGCAAAGCCTCGTCTTCTTCAGCTGCTCTAGCTGCAGCTTCGGCTTCAGCAGCTCTGGAGGACCCTTCTCCTCCTTCACAAGCCTCAAGTACCCGTGCAACCTCTTCGGCTGTGCGGGCAGCTTCAGCTTCTTCGTTCAGCAGCTGAAACCAAGGGTCTCTCTTCTTCCACCAAGGCTTCTGCCTCTGATACAGAGCAACAGCCTCAATTTGGAAGTGGGAAGAGTCCAGATGAACTTCCCTATGCCTCGGCTCAGTGATAGACGGGGCCCGTTCAGTTACAACTCGCTCTCGGTTAACACCAAGACGAGCGTAGTTAATACCAACGTTGGTCTCGTCCCGCTCTGAAAAAAGGAAAGGGAAAAAGTTTAGCTCAGATATGTTGGCACAGCATAAAAAAGCAAAGCGAGAGAAGAAAAAGAGGTAGTTAAAAGCCTCGGCCCCAGCCGAAGAAGCTTACCATCCTTAAACTTTCGGCTGAGGCCAACAGCTGCTAGCATATTCTCTTGGAAAACGTAATGCGTATCGGGGAGCCAAGTCTCCGGGATATGCTGCATTCGACCACTCCCCCCCGGGTTCGGCAGCTTGCCGAAGATATGTTGCTGATCCAGGTTCGGATCCGCCCCGTTATCTGCGGGGGGACCTAGACTTCCCATTTCGGGATCAGGCTCAGCTAAGTACCGGGGAGCGCTGAAGACGCAAGGGTGGCCCGGATCTATGGGTGCCCTAACCCAAATCCATTGACCTCTCCAGTCCTTGTCTGAAGAGTCATTTGGCCACATGGTCAAGTATTGGGGCCGGGACTCAATCCGATACCACCCAGAACCATGGCTTCCGTGCCCACTCTGAATATTTGGCACTAGCCGATGGAGCTTTCTGAAGCAGTGCAGGTTCGGCACGTATTTGAAGAACTTGCAGACCCATAAGTATGTCATCACCCTTCGGATGCTGGTGGGGGTTAGCTGACATAGGGAAATGTTGTAATGGATCAGCAAGTCTCGGACGAAAACGTCCAAAGGGAACCTCAGCCCATACTGAAGCTGTCTCGTGTACACCCCCACATACCCCGGGGGTGGACGATGGATTCTATCGGATGCTGAGGGCATTCGGCACCAATATCCATCAGCTTCAAAAATGCCGTAGTGCAACTCAATTTGCTCAGCAAATCGATATTGATCGGCGTTCTCTACCCACCATGAGTAGGGGCGGTTCTTTATCATGGCCGAAGCGACTTCGGCATTCTCCCACTCTGAAAACCCAGGGAGGATATCCCAAAGGACAGCGGGAATTTCATCGTCCCGTCCAGAAGCACTCGGCTCATCCGTTCTTTGAGGAGGAGCCGAGGAAAGGGGAGTCGCCCTAATCCCTTCAGCAGGGTCAGACTCCGGCCTTTGACCATTCCAGGTCCCAATCCTATTCCTAGGATCGGGAATCGGCCTTGCTCTTCTTGGAGCACAGGCTCTACCTCTAACTCCTCTTGCCATGGATTATTTCGAAGAGAAAAGTCGAAAGAAAAGGGGAAGGAGTTCGAATTCGAAGAAAAATAAACTGAAATCAAAGGAATTTACCTTAATCTGAAGCGAAAGTTGCCGATTTACGAGTTCGTAGTGGCAAGTCTCAGTTTCTAAGCTCAATGCTCGGGGGAATTTGCGAAGTTTTGATGCGGGTTCTTGGTTTCTCTCTCGAAGAATTCTGGGTTTGTGTTGGTGAATAAGTGAGGAGAATGACGCGCCTCTGTTTATATCTCCAGGTACGGGATACGAAGAGTCTGTGCTTTAATTTCTCTTAAGTACCCACTAAGTAACCATTAAACACATGTCTTGTGATTAAACCGCCCATTATCCGTCCAACTTCCGCAAATCATTAACCGTTGTTATCTCATTAATTACGGTTTAAATTCAAATTTTTGGATCAATTAAATCATTTACTTCCCTCCTTTTCTGAGTTAAATCAAACCCGACCCGTCATTCTTCCAAATCGGGTCTGGGGGGCAAGTTGTTTGGGTCCAATTTAGTCAAAATTGGGCCTGAGCACTAAATGATCCAATTAAAAGCCCAAGGTCAAGGTTCAACTCTCCAATTGCTCAAAAGTCAAAAGTCAGCCCACAAAGTAAGCCAATTGGGCTAAAGCCCAACCTCTCCAAGTATGATGAGGTATAAAAGCCCTCATATTAACACATTCAAGGGGAGATCAGATACATTATCACATATGATCATTGACATTCCAATTCATATGCTCATTCTTGCATTCAGAAATATTCCACAAAAGCCTCAAGCTACAAACTCTCTTGCATAGTGTCTTCCTTCTACACATTGTACTGACTTTAGCATCGGAGGGGCCTTCCTCGGAAACACCCCCGAGGCTAGTTTACGTGTGTTCACTGTGCAGGAAACCTTCGGCCCAACACAACTTGGATCGAATCCAGTCTTCTCCATTTCAGTAGACCTTCGGCAAGGTCCCATTGTTTTCAACCGAAACACTATCATTTCCTCTTTTATTGGCTTAACTAATAACCTTCATGTTTAACTCATATTGTTAGTTAATTGAGCGCTTTAATTGGCGAGTACCTGGTTATATTGGGCATGGAAGTGACAAATGTTCCTTTAATCATGTTGATGATGTTGCAAAAGGACACATAGCAGCAATGGAAAAAGGTCGTCCTGGTGAAAGATACTTACTTACCGGAGAGAATGCATCATTCAAGTATATATTTGATGTTGCAGCTATCCTTACTAAGACGAGCAAGCCCCGTTTGAGTCTTCCTATGTGGATAATAGAAGCTTATGGATGGATTTCAGTACTTAATTCACGGATTACTGGAAAGTTGCCATTCCTTAGTCCCCCGGTATGTTTAATTGAGTAATCGATCATCAGATCAGATCACTTCCTAGCCTTATATTCCCTAAATTCAACTTTATTTATTTTTTGTCTGAAAACTGTACTCGTTTTGACGTCTGAGGGGTTAAAATTTGGAGCAGACAGTGGCTGTGATGCGGCATCAATGGGCGTATTCATGTGGGAAAGCGAAGAAAGAGCTTGGTTACAACCCAAGAAGCTTGAAGGAAGGCTTAGAAGAGATGCTGCCTTGGTTGAAGGATTCAGGCTATATAAACTACTGATCTATAATTCAATCCATCCAAACTCCCTTTGTAATTGTGATGCTTAAGCTTCTGTTGGATCGAAAACTAATCTGTCAAAGCTGGTGCTCGATCCTCATTTGTTTGTTATTTTGTATTATTTTTTTATTTTAATTGGTGTTGTACTTTTTCTTTCAAAAAAAAAAAATATTGTATGACCTAGTCTTTCCTCATAAATTATTTAAGAATGAGATTTTTAGCATCTCTAGAACCTTCCACCGAGCATCATTTGCGTTCAAAGAGTGGAGTTATCGCATTATCAAAGATACCTCTTTAAGCTCGGGGTCTCCAATGCAGAGATCTCAAACCCATCATCTACCTCACCCAAACCACCCCAACCCACAGTTGATTGCATGGGAGGCTCCTCCTCTCAATTCTTTAAAACTCAACTTTGACGGTTCGGTAAAAAAAACAACTCAGCAGCAGCAGGAGTCATCATCAGAGACAGTGAAGATACACCCATTGCAGCACAAACTTTCAAGGAACCACCAATGCCTTCGTAGCCGAAGCTTTTAGCCTCAACAAGGGAATCATCCTCGCCCTCACACAAGGAATACAAAATCTTCACATTTAAGGGGACAAGCTCCTAGTTGTCAACGCAGTAAACGTTATTTTGTCGACCCCGTGGCAAATTGATCACATTATAGAAGATATCAAGATCCTTCTTCGCAGATTCCCCCATTAGGAACTCTGACATGTCTATAAAGAAGTAAATAGAGCAACAATTGGATAGCAAATGTTGGGCATCTTGTCACCGACAAATTGGATATTTCATTTTGTAGCTCTTCAGCTTTATACCCCATTCTCCCCTTAGATGTTTTAGGATCGCCTCTCATGAGGAGGGGGTTCTAATTCTTTCCTTTTTCTTACCTTACCATAATATATATATACACTAACTTTTGGGGGTGTACACACTAAGAAAGGAGGAATTGATTTTAATAAGGAAAATTTGTAAATAATAATTCCAACTTTGCTCCATTTTCATTAAATAATCCCAACTTTAGATTATTCTAGAATAATCCCAACTTTGGAGGGTGTAGACACCCATTTGTGTCTCCCCAAAACCAAACCCAGTGATGAGTACCTTTCACGTCGAATCATAATCGAATGAAGCGAAAGTGTGGAAAGTATAGTGTTGCGGATAAGTTTTAATTTCTTTTCTCTTCTCTCTGTTTTTGAAAACTTATTTTAAGAAAACAGACAATCCAGTTTGGTTGGTTCATGATATGGGTCTAATAGTAGTGTAGTTGGATGGGGCTTCACAAGAGCTTTCCAACGATATATTATAAGCCCAATTCCGATGAATAATGAGGAAGTTATGGCCAATTTACTAAACTGGGCCCGGTTTGAGCCTTATATGCGGCCCAATGATCTAAGGGAGGGCCTAATATGATTTATCATTCCTAATGCAATTAGGAATGGTTTTAGTCTTTTAGAAGGTTCTTTTCATTCCTAATTCAATTAGCATTGATAAATTGACTTTTCAGAGTTTTAATTGAAATCAAATAGCATTTTCGAGGAAAATATATGATTTTATCCTCCAGTACGGTAAACTTATCTGATTTTCGAAAACGCGTTAAAACCAGGCTTGGCGCCTGACTCCAGGCTTTGGCGCCTGGAACCAGGCCTGGCACCTGGCGCTAGCCATTGGCGCCTGGCGCTAGCCATTGGCGCCTGGCGCTAGCCATTGGCGCCTGGCGCTAGTGTTGGCGCCTAACGCTAGTTAGCCAGGGTTTGCGCCAGCTATGTTTTTTGTGCGCCAGACTCTGTTTTGTTTATTTTATCTTTTTGGCTGATTTTCTCTATAAATAACGTATTAAAAACTTCGTTTTCATTCACCAATTCACACCAATTCTCACGAATTCTCATCTACAATCAGTTTTCATTCGCAATCTTTCATCATCAATTCTCTCTTAATTCATTCATCTCTCTCTTTTTCTAAACCTTGACTTTCAATTACAAAATTCCGCATTCATTAGATCTAGACACACCTAGCCATATTCGAAGTTGCCTTCGCCCTAGACGTGAAAGGTTTAATTTATGAGGGTTTGGTCCCAAATCTCTCTTTCAATTATTTAATTTAATTATTGGTTTATTATTTTCCTTGAAGTTACTAACGTGTGTATTTTGTAATTAGAAAGAGGTACGAAGCATCAAAGTAAGTACTTTAATTGATTTTAATTGATATTATGATGTAGACATCATGTTTAGATTGTTATTAGGAAAAATGGAAACTAATAATCCCACCTTTGTTATTTCTGCTCAAAACAATCCCGCCTTTTCGAAATCTGGAAATAATCCCACCTTTATACCTTATATTCTCAAAATGAGCCTTTTACCGGTTTATAAATTTGGTAACCTGTTTCAGAAGGTGACTTGACACGTGTCACTTTCTGATTGGTTATTTTAAATAATTTTATATAAAATAATAAAAGATTTTTTTTAAAACAAAAAAAATCCTCTTTCCCCTTCATTTCCCTGCCGGAACCCCTTTTCCTTGCCGGAGCACCCTTCCCCTGCCGGACCTCGCTGTCGTAAAACCCAGCCACACCATCGGACCTTGTCATTGGCTCCATCCGAAACAGTGCAACCTTATGCCCTCCCCTTCCATGCTATACGTCGTCGGATTCCCTCCCCTTCACTCTTCCTTATTTCCCCTTCCCCGATTGTATTACAAACAATTAATACAATCAATCTCTTGTGATGAATTTTAGCTTTTATAATTCATATAATCAAATAGTTTTAAGAATTAGCAAACAAAGGGGATTTATCATCATTATACTTCAATAGCTAATTAATCATCTTAACCCCACCAAATTAAAGCTTTGAAAATTGGCAAATTATCACAAATTTCTTACAAAAGTCACGAATGACCAGAAAAATGACAAATCAAAACCCAATTCCAAAACTTTCAATTTGACGAGGTGGGGGTCGGGATGAGGTGGGCTTTCAATTTGACGGGGTCGGTCGATGGAAGTGGCTAGGTAGGATTTTGGGGTGGCAATGAAGTTGGAGGTGGGGTTCAGTTTAGGTGGTCGTTGGAGGTGGAGGTTGGGGCTAGTTTTGTTCAGGGGTGGGGGTTCGGTTCACGTGAATGCTAGTGGTGGGGGTTCAATTCAAGTGGCTGCTGATGGTGGGAATTATTTTCTGGTGGCTGGTGGTGGTGGGGGTTTGGTTCAGGTGGCTGATACTGGTGGAGTTAGGCTAGTTTTGTTCTGGTTGGGCCGGTGGAGTAGGGGTGGTGATGAGGCGGTGCCCATGGTGGTGATGGAGGGGGTTGCCATGAAAGAAGTTGTGGGGTGGAAAGAGAGATGAAAGGTGAAAAATTAAAAATTAAAAATTTAAAAATTAACCGGTTGAACAGGTTGGAGTTAAAAAGACCCGTTTTGAGAATATGGGGTATAAAGTTGGGATTATTTCCAAATTTCGAAGAGGTGGGATTGTTTTGAGCAGAAGTAGCAAAGGTGGGATTATTAATTTCCATTTTTCCTTGTTATTATGATTCCTAGTATCATGTCTAGGATAATTTTAATATTAAATATGATTGTTGCGATGCTTCTTATGTTCTTCCTAATATTTATGATTGTTAGTATCATGTTAGGGTTCAAGATTTGATTTCTATTGCTTAGTGACATGCTAGGGTTTTTATTAATCTTGTTATATCATGCCTAGGATCTTGCTATTTTTATTATGCCTTAGTATTAACATGAACATGATTATTATGATTATCGCGCCCGATCAGACGGAGGTCTCCCGATCGGGCGCGCACTTCACAAATTTGAAATACATATCTTCGCCCGATCGTGCGCGCCTATTTTGGCCGGGCCTTTATTTTCTTTTCTCCCCCTTTCTTTTCTTTTTCCTTCTTACTTCTTCTTCTTCATTCACACTTTCTCTCTCTAAAACCTCCATTTTTAAACCTTCAAACTCACTTTCCTTTCAAGATCTCCTCAAATTCATCCATCAAAACTCCAAAATTTTTACATATTCTTCATCCTTACACCTTCCGCTACAATCCCAACTAAATTTCTACCACTTTCTCTCAAGATTTCTCAAAACCCTTAGAGAGAGAAAGCTTCAAATCCTAACTTTCATACATAAAATATTTTCAAAAAGATCAAGACAACAAAGGGGTGAATGTTCGAGGCAACAACAGCAACCGATGGTTGACCCGGAGCTTCAAATTCCGAGATGGGATGAAGTTGTCATCACCTTAACCGAACAACGAGCTAGGATGCTTAACCTCATCCAGAGGCAGGTAATTTCTACTCGCTTTGTACATCATCCTACTTTGTATAGGTTAGGAATTGATAAACCGATAGAAAAATTGTTCAAAGGTATAGGAATAAGTGGATTTTTTCAAATGCATTATGACACCTATGATTATTTGACTTTAGAATTTGTTTCTAGTTTCAATGTTATTAAAACTATTGCTTTGATCACTCATGTCCAATTTCGATTGCTAAACAATGATGTGCGTTTAACTTTAAAAGAATTTGGAAATTTGTTTGAGCTTAAATTGGATAAACCTATTGAACCCTCCCAAGACCACATTACCGTGGTCTATAAAAGACTCATCGGTGAGGGTTTACTCAACCTCCAACATGCCAAAGGGACGTGGATTCAACATCCCATCCCAAAGTTTTGGCAAAGGTTTGTCGGCCTCACAATCTTTGGGAGGCATGAACCGGCAAACGTTAGGAGGGATGAAATTGAATTGTTGGCTTCCTATATGATCCCCAATGCTGAAAAACTGAACATACCGCATAGGATAGCCCAACATTTCAAAGGGCGGCCAATGCGGCCAAGGGGGGTAGGTCTAGGGCGCCTATCTATTTTGGGGGGTTGATTACCCATATAGCAGTGAAACACCTAGGATGGAACCCGACCGGGCATAGGAAAGTGGAGGGTTCAACCCTTATGGACCTAGCCTACTTAGGAGGCCTTAACTGGGTGCAGCCTATGGGAGGTGAGACATGGTGGATAGTCCACCGGGAGTCGGGTAAGAGAGATCAAGCTTTCAAGCTACCCAACCCCGCCTTGACCAAATTTGAGAAGGGGAAGCCTTCCTACACTTTTGAGTTAGACGGTCAAGGCGAGGTTCAAGAGCCTAA